AGATTACGTATTTGGCTATTTATAAAGTTTAAAAAATTGTGGATTTCATTCTAACATTCAACGATATTGGATACGTCTCTGCTTGGTATATATTTGACCGTTTAAAGATGTATTTATTTAGAAAACTATAGGCTTGAATAAAAAATAATATTTCATAATAAAGTAACATTGGGCAATAAGGCCTGATGTCTACAGTCCGGCACTGAGTGATTACTATGAACATAAGTATGCACCTTATGGAAACCTATCCAAGTCGGGGTTTTAGAACTTCTTTCACAGATGTTATGGACTCTCGGTGACACGAGGTTAAGATAAATACATATTTCTTTCGCCTAGCTTTATCCCATTATACTTATGGTCGATCATTGAGAAAAAAAAAATATATATATATATATATGGTCGGACACAGCGTTCGCCAGGATGTTCTATCCTGGTTCGTCACGGATGGTATTTGGGAAATATTTTTTTATTTACGAGCGTCATCATGTGAATTGGGTCTAATACATGGTCAAGATACATTATCACGGTTTATATAAATTGTATTTGGTTGCTGTAATGTATTTTAAAATTGATTCAATATCTAGTTATTAATATTTATAATCACAGAGAAAGGGAAATTACGTATTAAGTTATTTTTTTCGTAAATACAACGATACAATTTTGAATTGTAAATATTATGTGGATTTCTAAAAATATTAACATAAACTATTAAAATATTATATATTAAGTAGAATTGTGTGCAATATATTATGTAAGAAGAGCAGTTTAAGAATAGTAAGTTCGTAATTGTTCTTAATAATGTTTAAATATTCAACTTCAAGGTTAATTATGCTATGTAAATAATACGCTTAAAATATAATATATTAGAAATTTATTTTTAATGTGTCTATAAGAACTTTAATTAGTTTCTACTTAAATTGTATTTAAAACCTATTTAGTAGTGATTAATAAATACTATTGTTTCTGCATTATAGCAAAGATTATTATAGATAAGTATTGTTTCTTAATTAGTTTCAGATATATTGTGAACTGTTGGCTAATTGTCCAATTTCAAAATGTATCGCACTCCCCTTCAAATATATAGCTATTATTATATCGATTTTAGGAAATATGTAACGTTTAAAGTAGCTGTCTTTTGGAATAAATGATGATTTTAATACTCAAGAGCCGTAATAAAACTTGGCAACATAAAGTTATAATTACGATTAGCGCTTGCATTGAACAATTCCAATTAACTAAATTGTTTATTCAATATCCTTCAAAATAGTCGCGATCGCATCTTTATCCCATGTCAAATAGTTGTAGCATGCAGTTTGTGATTATCTTACAAATGTCAAATTGAAAGGGATCCATTTTGAAATTAGATAATTAGGCCTCTGGTTATGTCTAGTTAAAAGTTAGTATTGGAATCTTGTTATATTATTTCTTGATGTGAGTGTCTATAGCATAAACTGTTGAAGACTTTCTAGATATCAGTAATGTTCGTTTTGATATGGTGACATTATCTTCCCTATTATATGTATGTTTGGAATTTACTTTGATGTTTTTTTTTAATTTCCCAAACGTAAAAGTATACAAATACAAACTAACTAGTATCATCACCAGCCCTTTTACGTCCCCACTGCAGGGGCTCAGGCCTTCCTTATGGATGGTTAAGGAGGATGGGCCATGACCCTCCACGCTGGCCCAATGCGGATTGGAGGGTATTAACGACTGCAAATGCAGTCGGGACCAACGGCTTAACGTGCCTTCCGAAGCACAGAGTATTGTTATTATTGTTATTGTTTCGAGTTGCGGATTATCTTGGGTTTATGCAGCCCAGTATCACTGCGACCATTGCTGATCTATTGTGATCTCCACATACTACAGTTCACGGTCAAGATTACATTCTACAAGGAACTGTAGTATTTTCTTGGCCGTAAGTTCTTTAATATCGTTTGGGTGCATCACGTGCTTTCCCAGATAGATACATCGTTTTCGCATTAGTGACGGGCAATCGGTCAAAATGTGCAAAGGTGTTTCCTCCTCCTCCTTGCATCCTCTGCACATTCTACTGCCGCTGATCCCCATATTGTACATGTGTCTGTTCAGTCCACAATGTCCCGTGAGTGCTCGTACTAGTGTGCGAAGGTGATTTTTGGTTAAGTTTAAGGCCTCTGATGCCGCCTTTTTGTTGAAGGTTTTAATCAGGGTCTTAGAGTGTTTCATACCGGGAGTGTTTCTCCATAGTTGAATAGCTGCGTAATGGCAGTATGTTTTCAAGGTGAGCTGGGTTAGGCTTTGAGGGATGCCACAGAAAGGTTCTGGTCCGATAAGGGCGTCTTTAGCACCCTTCTTTGCCAGTTTGTCCGCCTGTTCATTGCCCTCATGTCCAGCGTGACCTGGAACCCATCGTAGAACTACTTTGTTTTTGTTGCCCAAAGAGTTAAAGCACAGAGTAGCTCGAGATAATAATTTTTTTGGTCACCCATCCCGTGACCGACCCTTGCGAAAGTTGCTTAATGACTTCGATCGCGGGCCGCGGCGCTTATCCACTACGCTACCGAGCTAACTAACTAGTATACAGTATACAAAAGGAATAAAAAAAAATAAAATAATAAATATAAGAAAAATAATTTAATATAGCACATTGAAGCATAAATTAGGATACAATAAAGAACACAAATAAAAAATGTAAGACGGTAAAAAGTCACTTCAAAACTTATATTTGATAAAAAAACATTTTGTGTATAAATTATTATTAATTTAAAGCAATTTCTATGAGTTATATTAAATTTATGTAAATGACGAAAAAAAACAAGAGAATTTTTTAACTTATGCTACGTATTAAGTTATTACTTAAAAATCAATATCACACATTTTTTTAAATACCATAAATAAATGAAAAATCACCCATTACTAACAATTAATAAAGCTTTAATATATTTTAAAATCTGGTAACTCATTTGTATCAGAGCGATGTTTTAAAGCATACGTTGATCTTGAATTACATTTGGTATAGTAAATGGTAGGTAATTAAATTTAAATTTTCATCTCTATCGCAAAGAAATTAAAAGCGAAACTTTGATTATTTACAAACTAGCTTTATAAAAAAGGCTTCGCCCGTATGATTTACGTGATAATCTGTTGGTATTTTTCCCTAGAGAACCACTTGGTGGGATAAAAATTAATCAACATGTTAATTCATGTTTATGATACGGATGATGCCTGGGTAAAAAAAGAAATTCTATTTAGTCCGTTAGTCAGATAATATAACAATATTAGATACCTACGTATTTTTAGCGTCAATATAACGCTACGTCTCTAATATATGGAAAATGTTGATAGGTGTGTCGCGTTATGCGACATTTCAATTCAATTTATTGCCACAGTTTATTGATTATGCAAAAAATAAAAATATACTTGTTTAAAATTCTTCCATAATCTACCTGACAGACAGAAAAACTAAAATTAATCGTCATACTTAATGTGTATATAATAAATTTCATCAACACCCGTTCAATAGGTTTTCTGTGAAGTAGAAAACATCCAAAACTTACAAAGTTTCGCCTAAATGTTAGTAAGACGAGTTCGTGGTAACCGTTATTATGTATTTTTTCCTGTAATTTCTCTGAAATCTGTTTCACTAAACCTTACCTAAAAAGTAGGCGTTCACTACTAAATAATGTAGCGAACTACAAAAAAAAGATTTTATACGTATGTACTCATTACAATTTTAGAACAAACGCCCGGTTTCTAAATTGTGAATTTAAAATTAAAAACTTCTCACACGTACCTACATATACGACATTTATAAAAGTTTTCTTTTCTAATTTTAGTTTTTTGAATGATCAGTTGATAGCAGTTTAATAAAACTAGGACTTTTTGATTTGTGAAATGTTATTGAGTGTTGATTTTGTACTTCATCCAATTCGTAAACCTCATATATACTCATTACACATATAAAAATAAATAAATTTAGATAAAAATAAACCCTACAAGGACCCTAAGAGACAAATATATTTTTTTCAATTTCACGGTGACAAAGATTTCACTTAAAAGGAAAAATACAATAATGGTATCTTACGGAATATATCGTGCGCACTTTTCCCAATCCGGAAACCAGCCGAAAGCCTAATAAAAATATTGCCTAACAAGCACCGATTTTAAATATCGAAATTAATTTCCTTTTCATTAAATATCTAGTAGCCGTATTAAAATTATCAGCTGTAAGGTGAGACTGAACGCAATCGCCTAGACTTGCCAGGGAAACCTCTAGCATACGGTGGCTTCGCGTTTGTCGTTACGTAGTAGACGCCTCTAGCTCTGTAAAATGTAAAAGATTTAGTATCATTAATAAGCAATACTGTGAAAAATCACCTTACTAATATTACTTAGTAGATTCGGTCTGCAATACGGTTGATAAGCAACTTCCACAATGGCTGGTCACAAGATGGGTGACCAAAAATTTACTAAGCCACGTTAAGCCGTTGGTCCCGTTTGTATTTACAGTCTATTGATTTATTAAATTTTCACGCGCACTATCCATAAATGAAATAATATCTATAAATAAATAAATATAATATCCAAAAATGTATTTAGTTTTAATGACGTAAAGACTAAGGTATTGATTGTCTTTTTAATTAAGTGTATAGCTACCTTCAAACTAATTTTGTTGGACGCATTCATTAAACATTGGTAACGTTTAAATTCTCTATACAAAATTCCACCCCCATTTCCATCCCTTTATTTGTTCATTTTCCGGATATAATATAGCCAATGCTTACCGCATATGATGTAGCTTCACGTAGGTGCAACAATTTTTTAAATCGTTCCAGTATTTTCAGAGCCTATTCGTTGCAAACAAATAATCAAACCTTTTCTCTTTTTAATATTAGTATAGAAATACTATACTTAGGGTTGGAAAAAAAACACAAATTACGTGGAGATTATACTTATAAATGGTCTATGGATATCGAAACATCGTTTTCTTTTGATGCTCATGACGCTTTCTATTTAATAATTTTTTCGCCAGGACCAGACCATAATTGTATTATATTTTACTACTTACTTGCGCGTGACATGTTCACCCATTAAGACATATTCTGAATCTTTAGGCTCACACCAGCCTATTAAGTACGAGAACAGACTGGGGCATGGGCCCGCCCAGAAGCCTTCCTTACTGTTAATAGACTCTATGAAGTAAGGAGTCACTTTAGTATGGTCACACGACAGGGTTTCTGAAAAGATAACAACAGCTAATGAAAAATATTTTCCTGACATAGAGAAGTGCCCTAGTTATTATTCTATAATAAAGCGTAAGAGTAGCGCTATCTTTTGGTTGTCTATGGAAGTACACCCTTTAACACATGCCTAGCTCTACTTTCTTTCAAAGAGTGTAAGATTCAGAAGAAAGTAAACAGGTGGCGCTATCTGTTGAATATAGTGTGTAGTATGTTGTGAAGAGAACAAAACTTAACAAAATATAAATGGGTAAATATAAAATGCAACTTTAAATAAACTACATAAAATAGAATAAATAGATTCTCATTACACATATAAAAATAAATAAATTTGGTTTAAATTAACAATTGGATATACAAAGACCCTAAGACAAATATTATCTGACTTAACGATGATTTTCAATTTCATGGTAGCATAAAGATGTCATTTAAAAGGAAAAAAACAATAATGGTATCTTACGGAATATGGTATCGTGCGCGCATCCTGGTTGGCTGGAACCCCCATTAACATAGAAATCGGCATGACCATTAGGCCCCCATTGTCCGAGGATGCCCGCACCGGTGTGGAGAATGTCGACGAACAGCGCATCAGTGTAGTCCAGATCACGGGACCGGTTATTACCCATGTAGAATAGGATGGTTGGATCGAGTCCTATAGGAAGACATTAATAGTAATGTGAGGGTCTATTAATTACTTTTTTATGATCAGCCCCCTTACTCTCGAACGCAATCGCGATTGATTCACTAGTATACTCTGGCGCTAATGTATCTAAAGGTAAGGGGGTCGATCTTATTTATAAGTACCTAAAGATTTTCAAGTAAAGAGGATACGATATATAAACCGAAAGTTGAAAAGCTAACCGGTCAAAACCTGGCTAAAAGCAAAATTTGTAATGTCTTCTTATATTTTAACTATCAATGGACGGCCTCGTGGAATGTAGTAATGATGATTTTTGAAAGGATGTACTCATTCTATTGTTTTATATTACTGATTCATGATCTTGACATATATAAAGAAATAAATATCAAACAACATCACATGCATTGTTCTGATACTAATATGAGTAGCCAAAGCCCCCGCATTACGGATTTTCTGAGACAACGAAGGTACCACAGTACCCAGACCTGAGACAATACAGAAAAGTTAATTTTCTACATTGACCCGACTGGGAATCGAAGCCGGGACCTCAGAGATGTCAACACCTTGATACTGGCATATTTAACTATATTATTCAAATTGTGAAATAGTATAAATATTGATAAATGCAAAAATATTACGATGTTATTACTTTCTGTATGTATTACATCAAATTATCATTCACAATGTTATAATGATATTTATCTTATAGTAAAATAAATCTCATTTCGGGGTATATGGAGTTGGTGAATTTTTAAGCATCTTTCATTAAAAAGATGAGTGTAGCGTTGTGAATACAAAATCAATCAAATATAATAATAAGTACTAATAAAATTAAATAATTCGAACAGCCGCCTTACTCTCGAACGTAATTGCGACCGATCGACATTGCAATTGTGCCGCTCTGCACACTTGATTGGCTCACAAGCATACTCTGGCGTTAGTGTACCCAATGAAGAGTACGAAACGGTACAATTATAATGTCGATCGGTAGCGATTGCGTTCGAGGGTAAGAAGTGGGCAGACCTGTGATTCTTCCCAATTTCCCGTCCTTGACGAAGTTGGCAACGAGGCCCAATATGTGGGCGCCCACACTATAGCCGATCGTATGTAAGTACTCTGGCGCCACAGGCTTCACTGGGTGGTATCTCAGGTAGTCCACCAGCTGGGCTATACAGAGCCCTGCGAACCGAGGTGCCCATTCGATCTGCACAATCAAAATCAATTTTAATTGATTTTATTTCAGGAACACGGAACTTGTGCAGGCCCACATTTACAACTATTTGCTGCCGGGGTAGAAACCCCCGGCGTACTAATTTTTGCAATATCTGATTTACCTAAGTTCTTTTATTTAATTTAGGGATTTTGAAAAGATGTCATTTCCATTGTAGCTTATGTCTATTATATTATCAAGATTTTGGTGTCCCACTAACAATGGCGCTTGGGAAAGCTGCCTCCATTTGCACTTTTGCCTAGATCTAGTCCTGAACCTATCAGGCTCAATTTACACCGCTACGGCTTAGGATGGAAGCCAAAAAAAATCGTTCATCTTCCGGGGGAAATGCGTCGTGCATTTTTTATATACAAGTGACTTAAAGTTCATTATGTTATGTATAATTTTGGCAGTGTAAATAAAGCTTAAGGCTTCATTTACACCGCCACTATAAAAAAAACTCAATTTTTATTATTTGCCTAATACAAAATTAAATTATTTCGCTGTGCGATTTTTATATGTTAGTAAAAATTTTATGTTCAGAAATTTCTTTTCATTATTCTTTAACTCTTTAAACGGTAATAATGTTTTTAGTTTAACGTTACATGTGAAACGTTAACTGTCAGTAATGAGGAATTTTATATGCAAAATTCATTATTATAATGTACAATATATATTCAGAAGGGCATCGTCGTTCACTTCCCTAATAACATAATTTTCGTGCTATGAAGTAATAAAAAGTTATAATGATATCAACATTATACTATGAATTTTGATCGAGTCTTCGTTACTAGCGCTTTATGCTCAACTTTCTTGAGAGACAAATTTCATTACGTAACCATAATCAAATTCAATGCTAATACGTCACGATCCAGTAAGCCCTCGTAGTGTTTTTAAAGACTGGAGATTGACATCTATTGTTCTAATTTGCGGGTCTGTTAAGCAACTGAGTGAACTTCATATGCCATTGAATTCGAATTGAAAAGAGGAAATGGGACGGAAACAACGCTTTCGTCAATAAGACAGATAGTAGACACATAGTAGAGCTTCCAAACTATTTTTATTTTTAATATATTGCAAACCATTATCGTAAAAGTTCTCAATACTATATAAACTTCGACTACATGGTAACATATGTATGTACTTATATTTATCAAATTTCTCTATAATAAAAGAATGTAATTTAGGAATAAATGAACTTAAAGGTTATAGGTAACTTGTTATAATTTCTATTTTTTTTTAATAAAATTTGATATATTAACACCCTTACTTGTAAATACTTTTGTTTGTATTTTTGTAGTTGTAGTTTTGTCATTTTTAATAATAGTTTTCTGGATGCTATTTTTTTCTACAATACCCATTAAAGTTAATGATTTTCGGTTTATGCGCCCTCTTAACGTTCATTAACTTCGGTGCTATCGTATAAGATTGTGTGTGAAATTAATTTCGCTTCACATATGAATTACGTCTGGTTACATGGACAAGGTTGCACCTCAGGTTACCACAATTTGTTAAATTGCTACAATCTATTTTAAAACCTTATTGTAACGGTATTAAGGTTTAATATCAAGTGGAGTAATTTGAGTCTTCATGGTTATACAATACTACAATTTAACGTCAGGTTTGACGTGCTGTTGACTCTACAACTAAGGGTAAATTCATATCAAGACACTTCGAAATATATTTTTACCTGACTAAGACAAGGTTCCTTAACCAAAGTCCCATAGTCCACAATAATAATGTTATAATTCCCTTTCTTAAAATATGCATTTCTCATATCGGTGCTGGGAGATAGATTTCTTCCTCCTCCAAAACCGTGGACCACGATCTTCGTTGGATGGATAGGGTTAAATTTGGAGTAAGTCAGTGAATCATTATCGAGGGTGTTGAGGAGTTCACCTTTTTCTTGTGTAGTTCTGAAAGGAAAATTTATCAAATATAATCAACAATATCTTTAATACTGTAACGTCAGTGCACATTACTATAGATAGGTTTACTCTTTGAACAATTTATGGTCAATGCTTGCCGTTAATATTTTGAATTATTACTTTTTCAGTATTCGAATTCACGTGTTCGTGTGTTGCTGGTTGATAATCTTCTTTTTTCTGATCAAGACCGGCTTAGAGTCTGTATCTTAGAATTTTATTAGAGTACCTTATCTATACTAATATTATAAAGCTGAAGATTTTGTTTGTTTGTTTGAACGCTCTAATCTCAGGAACTACTGGTTCGAATTGAAAAATTATCTTTGTCTTGAATAGACCATTTATCGAGGAAGGCTTTAGGCTATATAATATCACGCTGCAACTATTAGAAGCGAAGAAATAATGTAAAACGCGGACGAAGTCGCTGGCGGCCACTACTAAGAGATACAACGAAATAGAAATTGTATTGAATGATGAATAGCGATGATGTAATAAAAAACGAAATTCTATTTAGTTCGTCAGTCAGATAATGGAAAAATATTTTTGCTTTAATATAACAAGCAATAGATTAGACAAAGGCATTAAAGTTGAAGAGTGGGGGCTCTCTACGTCAAGAACTATGTCAACAAATATGTAGAAAATTTACAAGGTATGACCTGTGGGTATGACGTCATGTGATATTTCAACGCAAATAAAAAAATACACATTCAATGTTCTTCGCAATAGAGTAGCTCGGTGGCGTAGTGGATAAGCGCCGCGGCCCGTGATCGTAGTCGTTAAGCAACTTTCGCAAGGGTCGGTCACGGGATGGGTGACCAAAAATTATTATCTCGAGCTACTCCGTGCTTCGGAAGGCACGTTAAGCCGTTGGTCGCAGCTGCATTTGCAGTTGTTAATACCCTCCAATCCTCATTGGGCCAGCGTGGAGGGGAAAAAAGGGCTGGTGATGATAATGATAAATGTTCTTCGCTAATCTGCCTGACGGACAGACAAAAAATAATTTGTCATCATCTCTATAACAGAGTTACTTGGTTCATATTTACGTAGGTTTTTCCATTCTTTATTCTATGTGTTTTTGACTTAATGTTAGTTTGATAGGCGAAAGTCAATTCTGCTAATGTTTCGTAATAATCTCATCTCAATAGAACCTCAACTACTCGCATATTTCCTTTGTACTATCTACCTGAATTCCAATATTATTGTTATATCTGTCACCATCGATGTGTGGGGAAGACATTGCACTAATAATAATAATATTGGACTATAGACAGATAGTGCAATGGTAAAATGCAAATCGTTGAGATTCTATCAAAATGAGATATTACGTAAACATTAGCAGAATAGGGATGATGACTAATTTTTGTTTGTTTGTCCGTCAAGTAGAATGTTAAAAAATATTAAACACGTATTTTTTATTGTTTTCGTAATCATAAAATTACGGCATTACATTGAGTTGAAATTTCGCATGACGTCACGTTAGAGTACGTTTTCTACTTAACTGTGACGTAGCGAGCCCCCACTCCTCAACTTTAATGCCTGTTATCTATACTATTTCTTGTTAAATTGAAGTAAAAAAAAATACGTATCTAGTATTTTTCTATTATCTGACTGACGGACTAAATAGAATTGCAATTTTTTACCCAGTCATCATCCCTATTAGCCTACAGTTGTTTGCAAGTGGTAACTAGCTGTTCGCACGTTGAGAATGACAATGACACTAACCAAAAACGACGTATTTTTTACTTTTGGCAACATTTTTCTTTGTTAAGTATAAACTTTAAAATGCAAAGATCCCTGTGAACGTAGCTTGCATAGAAACTGCTAGGTGGCGTCGTGACGATACGTTGTTTAGTGGGGCGGATTACAATTTCTTGAACTTTAAACGCTCATTACTCAAAATCGCATTTTTTACATTTTTCACTATCGTTCTTGGTATAGCAAAGTAACCTATTTACTACAGTTACACTACCAATGAAATGTTGCAAACTAATTTACTTCCATCAATATTATAATAAAAAACCGTTATTTTTCATAACTCATCAAAATTATTTCATAGCTTACTT